GGTGGGACAGTAAATGGTTGAAAACTTTTGGGGAGAGTAATTTTTTTTTTTTTTTTTTTGGTTTTTTGAGGCAGGGTCTCCCTTTGTAGTTCAGGTTGGCCCTGAACTCACTATGTAGCCCAGGCTGGCCTCGAATTTGCGGCGATCCTCCTGCCCCAGTCTCCTGAGTGCTGGGATTACAGACGTGTGCCACCACGCCCGGTAATCATATATAATGAATTTTTTAAAAATTCTTTAATGAGTATAACATATTCACTACTTTCTTGTGGAAATCTAGATTTTTAAATGTCAGGTTTCCCTAAGTGAAATAAAATAATGCTAACTGGTAGTTATAAACTTTCAAAATTGGGAGAAAAACAGGAGCTTAAAGCATTATACACATTTTTAAAGACAGTCATCTTGGAAATCTTTGTTGCTGGTAACTTTTGCCCAAGGACTAGGTCAAAGTTACCTAAGAAATAGGCCACAGTACATACACACAGAGCTTTGCCAGGACAATGCAGAATCCAAGCAGAAAATCTAGCTGCAGCTGTGAACAAATGATTCTTCCCTGGCTCCAAACTGTAATGGTTTCATTAAGACCGGATATCTCCACAGACTCTTGAGTAAGCCTGATCCTCTCAAACACAGAGGACAAGGATTCCCTGCTGATTTTCATCTACTTCAATTTACTTGTCTCACGTATCAGTAAGATATACATATATTTTAACAAATTACAAAAATAGTAAAAGATCACTAAATTCTGTTAACTTAAAAAAAGCAACACAAAGATGTTCCTGGTGTACTGGCTCACACTTTAGAAATTCTTCCGAAATTAGTATGTTTATATATGGCATTCTATTTTAAATGGGAAACTCATTTTAATGAGGCCAGTTTCAAACATCAGGCAGTCCAGACCTAGTCATTATTAAATCACTCTGAGCCAAGTAGGATGTGATATATTTTTAATGATAACCAGATACAATCTGGCATACAACTATCCCTTCTCAGTCTTTTCAAGGTCCAAAAGAAAAACTTTTCCTTATTTTTCAACACTGTATACTCTTGGGCAAATCACTTAACCTCTGCAGAATTTAGTTTCCTCACTATACAATGTGAACAACAGGTTCCCTAGACTGTTAGGAGGATTAAATGTCATACAGCTCAACACTCAGAATAGTGCCTGATCTGTAATAAGTACTCTGTGTACATTAGCCTCTATATCATGAGGGTATCTCTAGCACAGAGAAGCAAAGACCTACTTCTTAAATAAAAAAACTATCACAGAGGAGAACAAGGAAATACCTGGAGTAGAGCAGGTGGAGAACAGAAATGAGATAGGAAGTGGTACAAAACGGGGGTGGGTGGGTATAGTTTGCAACCTTCTTTAATCAAAAACATAGAACGTTAAATTTCTCCCAGGGAGAGAACAAAATTCAACAGCATATCTGAAAAGGCTAAAAATTAATCATCTTAACAAAAATATTTTATGTGTAAAAAATATATTTTAGTTGTATTTATACACACAACATGAGCCCTTATGGTGGACCGGAATTAACGACTGGTATGAGAAACAGCAAGGCATCTTCCTCAGGGGGTCTGGTGGGCTGTGACCTGCTCAGCTCTCTATGCCAGGTGTCTATGTGGAAACATTCAGTATTTCCTTATATAAACCCAGACTTTCCACTATCAGGCTTACATATGAGTGAGGTAAGATAATGAAAACTGACAGTAATAAGGTTTCAAAACTGAGACAAAAGCAGGGGCTTAAGGGAGGTGCACAGCAAACACTTGTGGACTAAAACTAATGAGATAACAAACCTGGGACAGGTTTTTTTCCCTATATATATATTTTTTAGATTCCACAAAAGTGGTGGTGGCTGTCTTATCAATGGGCCATGATGATTTTTGTCTGGTTTTCAAAACCACTAGGCAGTAAATACAAATGCCATCATCCCCACTATGCACCCTTACTTGAGGATCTCTGTGTTAAACCCCCTCCCACAACCCCCCAGGCCACTAGAACGCTCCCCAGCCATCAGGCACCTACCACGGGGTCCTTTACAGTGTCAATCAGCTTAATGATATTTGTTCCACCACGAAGATTCTCCAGAATCTTAACCTCTCGTTTTATCTTCTTTTTCTTCACTGGCTTAAATACACAAGAGTAATCAGAAGTGAGACTCCTTTTAAAGTTATTATAAAAAACACAACTTTAAAACAATGTAAGCCAATTATATGGCCTGCATGCCGTCTTGTATACTGTGTTGTGTTAAAAGAGCATGCCTAAATTAGAAAACAGATAAAATGGGCTTGCCTGTAAGAACCTTTAACATTAAATTAAACAATTTACAGACTCATGTAGCTTATTTCTCAAGAACTTTAAGTAGTTACATCTAGGGCACTTAAAAAAATTTGAACGCTCATGTCATACTTTAAAAATAAAATGCTCACTTACTAGATAACTGCCAAATGGAAAGTGTTATATAGCTCTGAACAGCTGTATATCATAGACTAACAAATGGAAAATCTGAAATAAAGTGGTGAGACACTTGCTCCTTCCAATGAGTTACATATAATTTTGTCTTCCAGAAGTGAAGACCAGTTCAACGACATCAAGTTACAAACTTGTTTCCCAGCTGCTAGTTCCCATTTCCTGTTGCCACTCCCATTTCCTTAATATCTAGAATCTGAAATCAGCACTGAGCCAGAATATTTTCCATCAGATCCCATTCCTAATGGAAGAGTTGTTGGATCAGAGAAAAGAAAAACTGATCTAATACAGAAGTAACAAAAGTATCTGCTAAGCTACTGATCTGCTAGATAGAAAAATTAAAGAACTTAATTAGAAATACTTGCATAACACATAATTTCCTGTTTTAAACAGGCTAAAGAATTTGAATAAAGGTAGTTCTGGGGTTTGTTTTTTTTTTGTACTGGGGGATTGAACTCGGAACCTTGTGCTTGCAAAGCAGGCAGCAGCACCACTGAGCTAAATCCCTGGCTCTAAAGGTAATTCTGAAAAAATAAGTGTATCACAGGCCAGGGATTTAGCTCAGTGGTGTTGCTGCCTGCCTCACAACCACAAGGTCCTGAGTTTGATCCCCGGTACAAAAAAAAAAAGTAAATCACATGTAAATATGCTTCGTAAGTCACTTAGAACAGTGAGTGGCACATTAATAACCACACAGTAATTGTTAGCTTATTTCTGAATTTTTAGTTAGTAGTGGGTCATTTAATTTTCACAAAATCTCTACGTAGTAGAGTCAGCAGAGAGCTATTTGCCCAGGGTCACATCTAACAGTAGAACAGGAGCAGGAACCAAATCTGGGTGGTCTGACTCTGGATGCCACATTCTTCACCACTGTGCTTTTATTCCCAAGTGTGGCTAAGGAGAGAAACACACTGTAAATAAGGAAAAGAAGTATTCTATTGCAGAGACACTGTTATAATAGCACAGGCAAAGAGGGGCCAATGTGGTTGTCTGAAACAATAAAGCAATCTAAAATGTCTGTTTGGGGGAGAGGAGAATATAACATGCCAAAGAAATAACCATCTTTGGTTGGTCACTGAGATACAGCTCTGGACAACTACCAAAACAGGAAAGAAGACTGAAATGTAGCTCTTGCATCACTATAATAGGGTGCTCAACTGAGGGACTGTATCCTAGCTGCGTCCTTGCAAGCTAGCTACCACGATAATGTCTAGTTTCCACTTTGCCAGGATTTCCAGGAGAGATCTGGCTGTTGTTTCTACTTAGGAACCTCTCTCCTTAGTCTTTTTTCTAATTGGGGAGTTCAATATTTTGGAAAATGAAGCACTGTACAACCTGATCAAAATATAGCCAGGGAAGGACACATTACGTAATAGCTAGCCTGTACGTCTCAAAAATGTCAATGCCATGAAATAACTGAGCAACTGTTCCATGTTTAAAAGATACGAGAATTGAATGTGACAGATGATCTGAGATTCTCTTTTGCTACAAGGAACATTTTAAGGACAACTGGCAAATATGAGTAAGGTCTAGAGATTAGCTAAAAGCAGTGAATCAATGTTCATTTCTGATAGAGTCGACCCTTGACTTACGAACTCAATTCATTTGCGAAGGTTGGTTGTAACTCAAGTTGGTCAACTAAAGGCTCAGGCTTTTCTTCAAAGCCTTCAAAGTCTCTCACCTGTATACAGGGAGATCTCAGTATCCTTGGAAAGGCACTGGCCCAGGATTTCTCAACCCCACACAGGAAAGGATATTGCAATGTTCCTTCCAGAACTCTTTAAGGGTTAAATCTGTATCTGAGACCATCTGGAAGCACAAGTGATCAGCATCTGGGTCGTAACTCAAAACTTTGTAAGTCAAAACTAAAACTCTGGTCATAACCCAAGTTGTTTATATGTCAGGCTGGTCGTAACTCGAGGGTCCACTGTGGTGTTATTCAAGAAACTGTCCTTGTTTTTGTTTTTTTGGTACTGGGGATTGAACAGAGGGTCTTCACACTGAGCTACATCCCCAGCCTTTTTTGTATTTTAAAATTTTATTCTGATACAGGGTTTCCCTAAGTGGCTAGATTGCCCAGCCTGGGCTTCAACTTGCTCTCCTCTTGCCTCAACTTTTTAGAGTACTGGGATTATTTGCCTGTGCCCCATATCTGGCAGGAAGTGTCCTTGTTTTTAAGGAAAGATACACTAAAGTATTTAGGGATGATTGTAATTCACTCTCAAGCATTTCAGAAAAAATATACACACACATACATTACATTTGGTATATAGATAAAAAAGGGGAGAGAAGGATAAAGCAAATATTAACATTCAAAGAATCTGATTGAAACATGTATATGAATTCTTGCTACTTTTCTGTAAGTCTGAAATTATATTAAGAAGTTAAAAGAAAAATAAAAACTGGCTATGTTGTTTGTATAAATTCAACCAACGCTAACAGTCCATTTAGTGCCTTTTCATGCAAGAAAATTCGAGAGTTGTCATCCACTACTGGAAAAGAGCTACAGATTTGTGGTAGTAGCAACAGGGGGAAAAAAGCCCAGACAGAAGCCTATTTACATCAAGAAACCTCTTCTACTCCTAACAGAGCTCCTAATTCCTTACAGGGGTAATCCATTAATAAATTGCTTTTATGACACTGCCCCAAATAAAGCTTCTGTTGCTCTCCTGTTATTCAGCAACAGGTCAGATGTTGCACAATTCCTGGAAAACTCAGTTAAGACGCAATTATCTTTCAATACATCTAAAGACAGCATCTGAAGCATATTCTGTTGCCCAAGTGTCACTTGTCCAACAACTACCCAGACTAGAGCCTGGGAACACCAAGCCAATTCTGAAGTGGTGGAATTGAGTCCCAAAACATCTAGTATCCTCATATGCTTACTAAAGATCAAGAAGCAATCAAAAAGGAAAACTACAGCCCAAGAAACTTCCATCAGAATATAAAGAACCAGGCTGTAGACAGCTCCCTTTAACCTCAGATTATTCCTCTGAACCTGGGAAAGATTTCAGAAGCTAAGGCACCAAAGAGCAAGAGTGAGTAAAGGTGATTGTTTTATTTCCAGAAATAGACCAAGAGAGAAAAAGTTAGGATTTATCAGGAGGGACTGTTGACACCTCAATCAATCAATCAATCAATCAACCAACCAACCAATCCGTTTCATAAATAAAGATGCTTTGACTCTCCTGTCCAGAGTTTGCATCCATTCAGCACCAGTTACATAAAACGCAGAAAAGAAATACATTTCCATGACAATTTTACCTTGTATGTTAGAAAGTCTCTCATCAAGGGTCCATCTCCATCTCTTTTTTGACACAGGGCCTTTCTTGGTATGTAGTCCAGGCCAACTTTGAACTTGCAATGTAGCCCAAGTTGGCCTCAAACCTGAGATCATCCTGCATCAGCCTCCTGAGTGCTGAGACTGCAGGTGTCCATCAGCACACATGGCTCTATTTATTTCAGTTCAGAGAATATCTGTTTAAAAGATGCTCCTAGCACTCTGAGAGGCTGAGGCAGGAAGAGCTCAATTTCAACTTAGCAAGACCCTAGCTTAAAATAAAAAATATTTTAAAAGGGCTGGGGATGTAGGTCAGTGTGAAGGTCCTGAGTTCAATTCCCAGTACTGGAGAGGGAGAAGGGGGAACTGATTTAGCTATTTTCCAAACCAAAACAAAATTTTTCATTTTTACTTAAAATCAAGAAAAGTGGCAAAGTTAAAAAAAAAAAAATTAAAATACTGAAAGGGAAAAAAAACACTTCAAATTTTCTGTGCATAAACTTTGAAAATGGAAAAGAAAAAAATATCTTTTCAGAAAGTTTCTACCTATATGATGACCAGTTCCAGCTATTGGGCAGAAGCTTGTTCAAAGTAACCCAAGAGTAAAGTACGTTTCCCCTCTTCTTTTACTAACATCTAAACACTTTAAAACAATATATAAATATTGTGACAGGCTACTCATAAAGATAGAAGTTGACAAGATCATTAATATATATTCACCAGAAGTTTTTTTCTTCTAATCCAGATTTGAGAAAGATTTCAATTACTAGCATTTAATTGTGACTCAATTTACAAACTTATGTCTGTCAAAGGTATAAAATTATGACCTCAATAAATTGCACAAAATATTAACAGACAAAGTCCCATCTAAATTGCTTTTCAAGCACAAATAGACTGATAAATTCAAGAGGACAAAAGATAGTTCACAACTTCCAAATTTGAGGTTACTTTTATTCCATACCAAACCAATGGCTACCCCACTAAGATATTAATTTCATCAGAACAATTAATGAGCACAATCAATAATGGTTGCCAGGAATGAAGAAGGATAGGTTAAGGAACAAAGTTCAGCCTAGATGATAGTGTTTATTTTATCACCTTGGTAGCATCTCTGAAACCCAGTGCACTTGACCTAAATATAATCTGAAGTTGGATGTGGTGGTGCACCCCTGTAATCCCCATCTACTCAGGAAGCTGAGACAGGATTCTGAGTTCCAGGATAGCCTGGGCAACTTAGCAAAACACTGTCTCAAAACAAACAAAAAAAGACTATTAGCCGTGCAATTTATTCATAGCAACTTTTCCTCTAATCTTTTAAATCTCATCATTCCAATTACATTACCAGTTCCTTAAGGGTAACTGTTTATTCTCCAGATTA